CCGAGGGAAATGTACCGTTTTCCCTCAATTATAGAGGCCTGCCAATCTATGAGGCATGGTTGAAAACGAAGAAAGTGTATAGCGATGCTGGACGTGCTTACATTGTTGGTCGTGCTACTCGTTTTTGGCAAGTAGAAGACACTATTGGAGATACATTGGCTGGACACGTCGTTTCAGAGGCAAGACGAGTACGTTGGCGTTAGTGTCGTGCATCATAGGATCCAAAACTACCGCAACATCAGACTTCACCTACCATACCAGCCTGACGATCACTTTACCTGCCCAAACGATTTGAGATAGAGATACCGGATGACGCAAGTGATAATGAAGAGATCGAAAGCGAGTACCGGCGTTATGAACCGGATGTGACACTTCTTCAGCAATGCACAATATATAAAGCTTCACGAATGCGACGTTGGACCTTTCCACTCATGTTGAGGGTCTTGTGGATCTATTTCAGCTCGGAAATGAACGCAAAGACTAGAATTCAGTACCGCCCCCTGTTTGAGCAGCCGGCATCATCATCGTTCTTCGCCTACATTCCTGTGTATTTCTGGGTTGAATTTTTCGCCAAACCAACACTGCCATGTATTACTATGAACTGGACAATCACTTGAATACTAGTCCACTGTTTTCACTGCAGGAGAGCGTGCGTTTTTTTTTAATTGCTACTGTACATGGCACTACTAGACAAAGAAGAATATGCGAACTATTGGAGTCCGCAAATCAAAGATCGTCTTTTTGGTGGTAGAAGCGTTTGTCTCGACAAGGTGGTGGCTTTGGCTAGATCCAAACTGTTGCGATAATCGTTTTGTTTTCGAGCGATCCATCGGTCGGCAGAACTTGTGGCTCCTGCACCGACTCAAGGGACACCGACTGTATCCCAGCCGTATCCCCTGTCGTAGCTGTACTATTAACATGCGCTTGCTTGGGGTCTCTCAATGTGCATTTATGCTAGCGCAGCATTGCTGCAATCAGGCGCACCACTAACCGTACTCTGTGTATCTTCGATTGGAGTTGATCGAATTCCGCAATTGAACAAAGAAGCTAAGCTCTGATCATCAGTTTCTGGTGGCTATTTTTGGTGTATTTGAGCGTCGTCCGGGGGCATACATATGCAACGAAACGGCTTGCACTTTCTGAAAATTTTGTACTGCAGCGGTCGGAGTGCACTGGCAAGCGCAGCAAGGCAACGAGTTATTTTTCTAGCTGACGATGGCGGTTTGAAACTACGTGGTGTGCCAGTTTAATTAAAAAATAAACTTGGTTTGAGTATGGATAGAGCCTGTTTATGTGTGGTACACTTGAATTTCTGTAAATTCCGATTTACACTCTGTAGAATGATAATATTGTGAAGGATCAAAGTATGAGGTATATTAATTAAAAGGATAAAATATCTAGAAGTTAGCAACAAACAAAACCGGATCGGTGTGGCTGCTCTGTGTCGTCAATAACTCTGCTTGCTGCTCTTCCTGGCCGAGGACCAGCTCCTCTTCGTGTTCCTGCTCTTGGTGGATATCCTGCTCTTGCTTGCACTTCTGCTCCTGACGCTGATCTCGTGCTGTTTTTTTTTCTTTAGGTCTTTTTATCTTCGCTGGGTTTCGTGTTTGTTTCGAAATCTTTGCTTGAGAAGGCTCATCAGGTTGCTGTAGCATCTTGCGAGTTAACCATCTACCGGCTACTGTCTTAGTTTTCCTCTTTTTTCCCTGCTTGTGTTGACGAAGAGGTAGAAGTAGGATATGGTGCTGCACTGTTTCCTCGAAGAGCAACCACGCGGTCTTCTTTAAGGACATGGGGACGCCGTTATCTTGAAAGTTGTGTAGTGTTTCGTGCATTTTTACGAGATTTAAGGCGAAAATTCCTCAGCTGCGAAAGTCTGAGGAAATGTTGTTGTTAAAGTTGCAACTTGTCCACGCAAGAGTTGCCACTTGGAGAATTTTTTCCTTGCTGATCACATTAAAACCGTTGGAAAGAATGACAGTGTCGATGAGATCGTGGAGTGTGTTTTAAAACGAAGAGAACGCCGCAACGTGCAATGGTTGCAGTAAGTGAGTGCCGTTT